CTGGCATAAGTGCGAATCAATTGCATAAACTGGCATAAGTGCGGCATAAGTACGAACTGGCATAAGTGCGCCGAAAGAATTTGTAAACATTGGCATAAGTGCGTCAATAGAATTTGCAAATATCTGCATAAGTGCATACTTGACTAAGTGCGCCGAAAAAATTTAAAAATTTTGGAATAAGAGGGCGGTAGCATAAGTGCACCGAACAGATTTTTCAACTTTTTCTTAGTGGGGGACTCTTGAATTTTTTTATTTTTAAAAAATACTCAGTAAATATTATTATTTTCTTTGTCTAAAACTCAATTTAAAAGTTGGTGTTGTTGTTCAAAAACTGTGCGGGAACGGGACACCTTAGTGAGGCTTCTAGATCTTAAACCTTTGATAAAAAAAGACCGTTTAGATCTTTTTTTATCAAAGGCTCCTAATATATTGGGCCTTAATAAACGTTTTTTCTAAAGTTGGTTAGGCCCGGTAGTGGGCTTGTGTTACAGTCTTTGTTAATAAAAGTATTAAAAGAGATTGTTGAACTTTCCAATGAATTACGAGGTTACTCCACACAATGTTTAAAATATTCTTTATATAAAATATTTACAAGTTATTTGCCGTTTTGATAAACAAGCTTTTGTTTATCAAAATACTACTCAATAGTTTGACTTATTCTCTTCTTTATTGGTGTAACTTGTTTAGTGAGCATGCATAGTGAACATAGAGTAAAGCATGCTGTGACAACCAATTTAATCAAGTTGTAGTTCCTTCAATTAATCCGAGCATCACACAAAACATTTAAAAATTTTTCTTTTAAAGCAAAGTTCATGAACTTCCATGTCTTATTTATTTATTTCAAACTATATTTATAGTTAACAATTTACAATTGTTGTTCATATACGGGCAATATATGTTCATATGTCAGGCCTGTACACGGGCCTGAACATTAAGTTTATCAATTTTTAATTTGTAAGGAAATCAAGTTCGTCAACTTTTTTAAATGTAACATTTTTAATCAACTTGTATTTTTAAAAAAATAAAATTTTAATTGTAATTTTATTACTGAGTGTTAATTTAGTCATTGCATAGTTGGGCCTGAGGTAAGCAAAACCATGCAAAATCAATATTGTGTTAGTCACTCAAAAACTGATTTAATTTTAACCATACTTAATTTTTAGGTTCAACATATCAATTTTACCAGGGAAATGGTAATGTTTTATTTTTCAAATATTAGTCAAAATCAAAAATAAAATGAAGCCAAAGAAACAATTTTTTTCTATTCTAATGTCTTAACTCTACATATTAGGTCAAAGACACCATATATTGAAATAAGAAAAAATGATATGAAAATTTATTTTTTATACTAGCATTTTTTTAAAGTACTTTTCTTAGCATGCCCTAACGTTTTTGTAACACTTTACTTAACCCAAGCATAAATAAACTTATGAATAAATATGGATTTTAGCTGAGCCCAAGTCTTTTGTTATAAATGATATCGATTCATCAGGGGCGTTGACCTCATTCTTTAGTGTTTAATTATTCCAAACATGTGTATGTTTATGTTAATGTCAAATAAGGATGCTTTGCCAAGTACTGTAATGATTGCAGCCTGGGAACCAAAAAATACTAAAAAAAAAGTAGTTATTTTACCATAATTTAATTAATTTCAATTTATCTACAAATTTAAAATTTCCAGAAATAATCTGCTGTGTTCGGTTTTTATGACCCATCAAAGTTTAATATCTCTTCAAATCGAAGGAGGGGGTGGTGGGGTGGTGGTAATGAATCAAACTTTTTGTGGTCATAATTTTAGAACACGAATATTGTTCTATCATTTTGTTAATCGATCACTGTTTTTTTGTATACATATATGTATACAAAATTATTTCTAATAACCTATCATTTTGTTAATCAATCACTGTTTTTATGTATACATATATGCATACGTAAAAACAGTGATCGATTAACAAAATGATAGATTATTAGAAATAGTTTTCTAATATTCGTGTTCAAAAATTATGACCATGTAAAGTTTGATCCCCCCCCCCCTCTTGATTTGAAGAGACATGATACACGTGTACGTGTATCATGTATGTAAAATAGTTAAATGAGTGTAGCGTTGAGCAACCGAACTAGCTTCATCAATTAGTTGTTTGTGCTAGGAGGATCGATCTTCATCGCACAAACGGCTAATTGATGTAACTAGTTCGGTGGCTCTATGCTGCACTCATTTATATTAGATTTCTTTTCCGTTAGACATCCTAAATTGGTCTCATACAAAAGTCTTGAGAACGTCGTATCCGTGTGTGTGTGTGTGTGTGTGTGTGTGTGTGGGAGGGGGTGGGGGTGGGGGTGGTGTGGGGTGGTACTTTATATTTTAATATAAAGTTTTAAAAGAAGAAAAAATAATAATATAGATTTGGAAGTTACATCATATTATTACTTTATTCTACGCCATCAGGTTTGTATGAAATATTTCAATTTAAAGCTGTTTTCTTTATAAATATTGCATGTATCTAAGTATACTTTCTTAAAATGTTTAACTATATCTATATTACACTTCTAATATACGCTACAATAACTGTTAAAGTGACGTCATTGCAAAATTCAAATTTGATATGTTATTCTGAAACATCTCTCAGGTAACATAGAACTATGACCTTTGATATGTTATTCTGAAACATCAACAGGTAACATAAAACTATGACCTGGACCAATGTATTTGAACCATATTATTTCAGTGATGGAGAGACTTGAAGATATTCTGTATATGAAAGGCTTACAATGTTTTCATTTAAATATCCGTGGCCTATGGAACATTTAGCATCATTTATTTGTTTAACTGCAACAAAAACATTGACAAACCCATAAACCCATATAAGCAAGGACGACCTTAGTGAACTATGTCATATCGAGAGTTATGCATATCTAAGCGGCATACGTAAAAACAGACTGGGTGGATGTGTTGCCGTTTACATATCTAATAAGTTAAACTGGGTAAGACGTAACGATCTCAAATCCAACGAAATAGAGAGCGTTTGTTTCGAAAAAATACTTCCAAAGACGAAGAGTATATTGTTTTGTGTCCTATATTGCCCACCGGATGGCTCGAAATACCTTAGCCACAATTTCTCTAACATATTTTCAGTAATGATATCTAAACCTAATTAACCTAATTTATTAGAAACAATTTTAATTAGAGATCCTAATGTTAATTACATGAGGTCAAGTGATCACACTGAAATAAAATCTTTATTTCAGTCTTTATCAGTATGTACTAAATTTTCACGCGTTTTACTACATTTAGTTTTTCATAACAGTTTTTCTGTTTCAGTTTTTCAGTTTTCATTTTTTGTCTTTTGAAATTAAATTTTAAAATTATGTTCAAATATATACATATCCTTCATACCTGGAGCATTATTAACTTAACAATAGACAATGTAAATTTTATATTTTAAAAGACTTCTTACTTCAATTATTTTTCATTATGAAACCCATTCATTTATGTTAACTTTATGGCTAATAAAAGGTATTTTTCTAAAATTATGGAAAAAGTTGGGGAGAGGAGGAGAAGAAGGATATTAAATAATACTTTTACGGTTATGTCTTTTTTATTTGATGTTCGAAACCAAACCAAACAAAACCAAACAGTTGTAAGAAAAGCACCTTCAATTTGGGCACTGATTCAATCCCTTTAAAATTCCCGCGTATTATAATCGAGTATATAATTTTTTTTTACAGAAACCTTGCAAATGGGGTAGGTGTGAGTAGAGGTGGGACAAGGTAGCGGGTAAAGTGATAACTATATAAAATCATTTGTCTAAAATAAGTTGAAAATTAGTTTAAGCAAACTATTTTAAAGTGGTTTTAAATTTCAGTTTGTTTTAAATGAAACACAAATAATCAATATTCAAAAGTTTTTAATTACATTTGACTATTGACATGTGGAGTTACATTGTTTCTTTGAAACATTAATTGATATATCACAATATATGATTTTTTAAGATTTTTTATTATGCTTTTCCTTAAAAAGAAAAACATTAGTTTTAAATACTAGGGGGTTCTAAACCACCTAAACCCCCTGGTTACAGTTCTATTCGGGCAAAGCAATTATGCGGAACTTGAACTTTACTACATAGAATAAAGACCTTTATGATAATGTTTTAATTGATTTTAGATTTAATTTAAATATTAGTTTGTTTTTAAGTTAGGGGCTGTTCAAATAATATGTAACACCTTTTTGGCTGTTTTTAGACACCCCACCCTTCCCCCATGTGACATTTTATGACATTTTCTGTCAACCTCCTTTTTTCCAATATGCATATTGGAAAAAGGGAGGAGGTTGACAGAAAATGTCTCAAATATGAGATGTGACGTTATTTTTACCCGATTTTGCAACTTTTCGCTAACATTTTCATTGATTCCGCTGTGATTAGAATTTAAATTTTTAAAAAATTTGTCACGTTACACTGAAGCTAACCCCCCTCCCCCATGTGACATTTGGTGACACTTTCTGATACCCCCTCCCCCCTTAAAACTGTCACGTATTAACAGCCCCATATAGGTCTGTAAAAATTATACTTTCATATTGATGATAGTATTAAGTGGCTACAATTTTTTTAAATAATAAACATAATTTTTAATTATTCGACAAACAAAATTGCATTTCGAAATCTCAAATTTAATGTTTTATTATTTATTTATTTTATTTGTAAATATTATGATTCTTTGTAAGTTCAAATAAAAATATTTTTTTGTAAGTTCAAATAAATTTAGTTTTGAATACAACTATACTGTTAAATTTCAACAAAAAAGTTTGTATATGAACATTTATCAAGCAGATCAAGCAAATGTTTGTATAAACATAAGAACTGTTGCTCGGCAACGAGGACATTTTAACTGTAAATGTGGTATACACATTGTGCAAACCATGTGTCCACAGGGAACAGCAGCGAAGTTTGGAGTATTTTCTAAACAAACAGGACATGTTGTTCCATTAGTTTCATCCACTACTCTTAAAGTCTCCGTGACTCCAACAATTTCTGTAGAACTAAGTTTTCTCCGAGTTGGAAGGTATTTTGCACTATAGCTACATCATCTGTATTTTGCATTATAGCTACATCCCGTTGTATTGATACATTAAGTTGCTGGGCTTCATCTTGTGGTGGAATTGAATTAGGCTGTGAGGGCTCTATTTGAACTTGCGTAAATGATGAAACTGTTTCCAATTCCGGTGGTTGATTTATACGACTAACGCCAAGTTGATAGTTAAATAACGCATCTGCGCAATGTGAAACACTTTGTAGAAATTCCAATGAAGTTAGACGTCCGTTGGCCAAATTTTCAGTAGCAACTCTGATTTTACGATCATTTAAAACATATTTCTGCTTTCGTCTCCGACGAATCTGAAGTCCACATTCTAAACGTACTTTATCAAGTTGCTGGACTTCTGCAAACTTTCTTAGTTCTGCTAAAATATTAAAAAAATTAAATGCAAATAAAAGATAAGTTCAAAAAATTATACTTTTATTTTATATATATATATATATATATATATATATATATATATATATATATATATATATATATATATATATATATATATATATATATATATATATATATATATATATATATATATATATATATTTACTTATAAAAAGCCAAATGTTTGGATGAGCAATCTTTATTCGTTTTAAAAGCGAGGCATGGAAGCTTTCTTGATCAGAGTTCGTTCTTCTGGGACAAGCAAAAACAGAAATTTTGTTACTGCCAATACGCCCAATCCAAAATGTTTCCATATAGGTCATTAAACTTTGACATTTTGCGAAGTCATTTATGCTTAATGATACCACAAACAAATTTGGATTCAAATTGCCTAATGTTGGCTGAATATGGTGAGGCGGTAGCAAAGAAAGACACAATAATAGCCTTATCCATTTCTTCAAATCACTGTGAACTTGCAATTTTAAAAGTCCAAACAATCCAAGATGTTTACACTTGTTAACCACAGCCTAAATATAAATAATTGTAAACATAAATATTTTTTAAATTGTAAACATATATATTTTTTAAATTGTATTTTAATTTAGTTTTAAAATTGCCATTTTATAACAAAGGTTATTGTATGTTTAGTTAAATATTTTTTTGCTTACATTTACGTAATGAAACCAACAGCCTGAAATTTCAGCTAAAGGATATTGAATTTCCAAGGTATTCATCAATGCTTGTTCATAGTCCGTCATTATCCGTAACGGTGACAAATGTGGAACGAGTTCAGCAACTTTGGAAAATGCAAGAGAATACAGCTCTTGCGTTTTTCTAGTCATAAGTATGAAAATAGTTGGAATAAACTAAAACAAAAAAATCTTTATTTCTTGATTCTTTACTTGTAGAACAACATTAATAAAAACAACTATAATTTATAAAAAACAGTAGTAATAACAATAATAACAAAAATATTAATATATGGAGGGTGAACAAGAAAAAACAGGGAATATATTTTGTTTTTTTTTAATTCATTAAGGTGCTCTAAAAAAATCTAACGGTATTAAAAAACACCGCGGAAAAATTAGAATTCCTTGTTTACACCCTTCTCATATTATCTTTTATTTTACATGATTATCTTACATGATCAAGCAAAATGTATCCAAATGTTATCATTTGATAAAACATTCTCGGAACTACCTTAAATGTTCCGTCAACGTGCAAATCAGTCGGTGAAGCAACGACTGTTTTCCCGATAAATATGTGAGCATAATCGTTATTTATACGAACGTACCCTTTGTAAAAATTGGTCCCGTCTAAAAATTTACTTATGTTGTTTACTCTCAAAGAGTTGTCTAATTCCCCGCAATTGGCTGGTAATTGCGGCTGCACTGATCTACGTCTGCGATACATAGTGCTTTCCATCATTCCAAAAGAAACGTGATGTGCTGATTGGTTACTAGCAGTTTCTTGGTCAAAAATATCTCGCAAACTTCCACTTGTAGTTTCAGCAGCTCGTTTTATTGATTGTTTTAATTTCAAAATTTCTTTTTTTTCAAAATCTGGCAAATGATTATGCGGCGTTATTTGTACTAACGCTAGGCTTGGTTCATTTGTTGCACGACTTCTACAAAATTCATCCTTACATTTGAAACCGCCACCATACGATTCTGTTGCTTTTTTGTCTTTACGATAATAGTAACCATTTTGGTAATAAATTTTTGAGTTTTTTCTTTCGCCTTCGAGTATTTCCATTTTAATGTTTAACTAAAAAAAGAAAAGTTTTCTTTTACTATGACTTTTTTCTAGGACTAGAATTAATTATATGTTAAAATTTAAATGTTTTAACAATCTTTAATTGATTTTTGTACTTTGATATAATAAATTGAAGCGTTAACATTAAATTTAATAAGAACGTACTAATCGTTCTAACATTTATAAACTAAACTTAAAAAAATTCGATTTTGTGTGTCACCAACCAGTTCTTTTTCTTTGTACCGGAATGTTTTATCTGAAAACGAATTAACGAAATTCCATTTTTAACCCAAAGCACTTATTTAAATTACTTTCTCCATTCGAATTTAACTATTTTCTTTACTTCTGTAAATATTATGAAGAAATGTGTTTTTTCGAAGTTGAGTTGCGAACTAAAAACTAAACTTTTTTACTACGGAATAATAATTCTTAGTATAGAAGTAACAAAATGTTTTAAATATTTGTTGAATATTGTAGCGAATATAGAGAACAATATACAGGGCCAGCGCTAGAGGGGTGCAATTAAGATTAAGCTATCCCTCAGAAAAATCAAATTTTTCAATTTTTTTTGTTTAATGTTTTTTAAAATTTATTAGAGAATCATATTCTAAAAATCTTTTTTTTTTTTAAATCTAGCTTTAAAATTAACTTTAGGAAAGCAAACTTTACTAAACCTTACTTGTTTACGCGTCCCTAACAACCTCTATAGCAAATAACGGTTAAATTTTTATTTGGCAATAAAATTCTCCCCAAATAGAGTAAAATGGGGTCAAATGGAATAGTTAAGAATTTTAATTATTTTTTTTTACTGAAAAATGATTTAAAAAAAAATTTTTTTTTTAAAGAGAATAAATTTAAATTTAATTTTTTTTTAATTTTTTTTTTAAAGAGAATAAATTTAAATTTGAATATATAAGAATCGGTATATAAAAATATAAAAAAAAAAAATTTTATTATACCCTGACATTCGAATGTCATTCGTATTTCATTCTCCCCAAATTCGGGGAGAATGAAATACGCAAACCTTTGTGCAAATAAAACAATTCTTTTCTGAAAAAAACAATTATGAAACCAATAAAAAACAGTTTAAAAAACAACCGAATAAGAAAAAATTTCATTCATATTATTTCATATTAGAATAGATTTAATAACGATTTTATTATTTTTAATTTTTAACAAGTTTTTTTTTCCAGAAAAATATGCACAAGGTAAAATTACATTGAAAATATTACTGGTAGGAATTCCAGAAGATCACATGATATTATCATGAAGCCCTTTACAACCTATATAACGAAATAAAAGGTAGAAAATTTACAAATATTAAAAATTACATAAGCGTTAGTATATTCTTCAGATGTTAAGCAAGTTTTAACATAATATTTTATAATATGGATATATAACATTCTCAATATTAAACGATATTATAATATAAAGTATTCAGCATATATTGTTTAAATAATATTCATCACACAGTCGACAAAAATATCAAATAACTTGAAATACTTAAAATAAATAAATATATTTTGTGTTGAAAAGATTATTTCTTTTGTTTTCTTTTTAAAGGAGGAATAAGACCATTTAAAAGAAAAATCAAAGTTAGGTAAACTATTTTATTCCAAAGAAATGGATAAGAAATACAAAACTGGTCAATTTTTGTTTTGCAAAACGGCTCTTGAATATTTTTACTACCACGAAGTTCATATTTGTTTTTTGGTTTCAAATTATAGAGACTTATAAATACACTTGGAGATAAATTTTCTTTACATTTAAACATAAAACATAAAATATTAAAAATATTTAGTTCGTATATATTTAAAGCTTTTATTTCTATAAGAAGTGGCGTTGAGCTTGAAAAACGATTTCCAAAATTAATTATGCGAGCTGCGTGTTTCTGATGCCGATAGAGAGATTTAAGTTTGGTTTTGTGAGCGCTTCCCCATATAATATTGGCATAGTTTATATGGCAATGAATAAATGAATAATATATTTGAGTTAGTTGCTTTTTATTTCGTATATATCGAGCTTTGTATAGAACTCCAATGTTTTTAGCAACTTTCATTGAAATACTATCAATTTGTTGACTCCAAGATAAGTTTTCATCTATTATGACTCCTAAAAATTTTGTAAAGTTTTCTCTTTTTATGATTGTATTGTCAATGAATAGGTCAGGTAAGATATTTTGGATTCTCTTTTTTTTAGAGGTTGGGTGAAAAAGTATAAACTTTGTTTTATCCGTATTCAAGGACAATTTTTTTTTCTAAACCAATATGATATTCTTTTTAATTCATTTTCATATTATTAAAAAGTATTTCTATGTTTTCGTGCGACTGAAATAAATTCGTATCATCTGCAAAATTTACGGTCGTAAGGGTAAAAGCTTTGTAAAGATCATTTATGTATAATAGAAATAATAGTGGTCCAAGTATGGATCCTTGGGGGACACCGCATGTTATATTTTTTATTATTTGCGATGAAGATTCTTTGTTATAAACAAATTGTTTGCGGTTACCTAGATAGCTTTTGAACCAATTTAGGGTTTTATCTTTTATACCATAGCTCTCTAGCTTTTTTATTAAAATATGATGATTAACAGTAACAAAAGCTTTTGACAAGTCAATGAATATGCCTAGTGTGAATTAAATGAATCGGCAATACTGCGTGTTACTTGGAGAATAGCGTGTTCAGTAGAACTGTTTCTCTGAAAACCAAATTGATTTTTATAAAGGAGTTTATTATCAATAAGATAAGTGTAAATTCTATTATACATTATTCTTTCTAATATTTTTGAAAAGACCGGTAGAACTGAGATAGGACGATAGTTTGTTATGTTGGTATGGTCACCTGTTTTAAAGATTGGAGTTACTTTGGCTATTTTCAAACTATTTGGAAACGATCCTTAAGTAATAGATGCTTTGAAGACTTTGAAGAGGATATCCTTAACCTCATTAAATGAGTCGATTACAATATTTCCATTTATATCATCAGGCTCTATTGCTTTATTCCTTTTTTAAGATTTAAGTGCAATTTCGAATTCATTATAAGTTAGATTTGAAAAATTTATAGTTGAATTTGGTGATGATATAAATTCTTCAACAGAGTCGTTGTCTACATAAGGAATCTTGTTTGATAGGTTATGTCCTATTGACGAAAAAAAGTTATTGAATTCGGCTGCGATTTCATTTGAACCGGTAATTTATAGCAATTTATAAATTCATTTTCAAATTTTATAGCATTCGGCATCGTATTTGTGTTTGTCTTATGTTTGCTAGAAATTTCTTTCATTATTTGCCACACCCGCCTTGAATTATGCTTGTGTTTTATAAGCAAGTCAGAGTAGTAAATTTGTTTGGCTTTTTTTCGGAGTTTTTCAAATAGGTTTTTGTAAACTGTGTAGATATTTTTATGTTTGTCGGATTTATTTTTAAGATATTTAATATAGAGTTTTTGTTTTATTTTTGATGATTTTTTTATTCCTTTAGTTATACAAGGACAAGTTGTCTTTGGCGTTAAGAACTATTTCTCGAATAGGAAAATTTTTTTTTTTAAACTTCTGATATTAAAGTGGATTATATAAAAATAATCACGATTATCATTATTTTTAAATATGCTTTTAATTTTATCTGGATAAAAGTAAGAGCATTCGAATTTTGATCCATTAATCTCATTAAAATAATTAATATCTGGATCAGATTCATTGTCTAAATTAAAAGTATTTGTTTGAAATAAATTTGATATTTTTTCAAAATCATTCCTATAAGTTGAATCCATTTTGTATGTTTTTGTTATTTTGAAAATATTTGAAGGTTTTTATATACACTGGTATATATAATGTACGCACACATGTGATTACATATATATATATATATATATATATATATATATATATATATATATATATATATATATATATATATATATATATATATATATATATATATATATATATATATATATATAAAACCCTTTTTTTGTGTTTTTGTTTTTTTGATTATCAGATAGTCTTTTCGAAAGACTCGGTGATTAATTTATTATAAACAACTTTGGCAAAATTACCTGATGAACGTATTTCTTTGGCTTTAATGAATAGTTGTTTGCGAATGTTGATTTTTCTCTCACTAAAATCTTCATTGATATACATCTTTTCGTTCCATAATTTCAGCTTTTTGTAGTTATCTAGTATAGTTTCACGATCTTTATAATCTAGAAATTTAACTACTATAGTTCTTCTTCTTTTTTTATTCCCATCGTTGTCTTCTTTCTTCCCAGTTCTGTGCGCACGTTCTATATGTATTTCTTCGTTATCGATCGATTTAATTTGTTCGGGATGGCCCTGCCCACTGTGTGGGGTAATGTGGGCCTATGTTACTTTTTCGCATTTTTTTCATGAAATATACCAACTCATAGTAAAATATGACTTGAGTCATTGAGTATGTATTTAATTTAAACTTTTTGTTTAAAAGTTTAAAGATAATAGTGTTACAATAAATGCGCTAAATGCAAAATATTCCAATGATATTCCAATTCAAAAAAGTACTTATATTAAGCCTAATCATGATAAAAAAAATATAAGGAATAAATTAGACGGATGCTCAAATAAAAATTAACCAAATGTTCTAGTATTATATAATATAGATTCATTATTCTTTAAAAATGTTTATTTAAAAATAAATTTGATGTGATAAGATTCAAAACTGTTACTCTCCGGTACTAGTTTCAATGGAAAGTTACATCTTTAATGATCGTCTATATGAATCCGTTGAAAAATAAAATCAGAAAAGCATTGCCAGAGATCTTATTTACATTTTAAAAGTATTTATTGCTGTAAAAGTATTAGATTTTTAACAATGCAATAAATACTGACATATAGGCCCAGATTACCCCACCCAACTATGTTATCAATTTAAAAAAAATAAGCATATTTTGGTCTTAAAAGAAATTGAACCTAGTTATATAGTTTATTTTCTTTGTGATGAACCATTTTTCATTTTTTAGAACCCGTT